TCAAGGGTTTTGCTGCCAGTCTATTCCCTTTTCCCCAGTACCTTGGCTCCCTGCTCACATTTGTTGGCAAATACATCACATATAATGCTTTCTTGCCTGTCTCTTTCAGAAGATAGTCTATAATTAAACTTTTAAACCTGTCTTAATTGTGGGGGTTATTTTTCCTTCTTCTTATTTTTCCTGTTAAAAAGAACAAGGGATACCTGGATTTAATGGGAGTGGGCTGTGGGATGGAATGTGCAGTGGAGGGGGATGTCTCACATCACTCAGCCTGGCACAGAGTGATCAGGGAGTCTGAAATGCCTTCACAGCACACTACAAAGGGCAATATGATCTGTGGGGYTAACACAGTGTTATGCTTGAGTCACCTGGCTGAGACATGACACAGGTCCCCTGTTCCCCCTTCTCCAAACCTCAGGGTAACTGCATCCAGCTCAGGGCTGTGTTTTGATACAGAGACCACCTGACAGACAGGATTTGCTTGTGCTGCCTCTCCTCCCACTACAGTTTTGTACCATCTCTGGTGGTTACAGCATGGGAAAGTAAAGAAATTACTGAAGGTCATTAAACCTCCTTTTGGCATGATTTTAGGAAGGGAATAGAGGAAAACAAGAAGACTAAAAGATCAGCTCATTCTTTTCAAAGCTGGCAGGTGCCTTGTGGACAGTACAGCTGGAGGCTGTCTTTGCCCAAAGTACTGCTGGTGGGCATGGGAAGAAAGTGCCAGCTTGAGAGAGCTTCAATATCTGAGATGAAAGGAGGTGGAGGCAGCCACATAGGTGGTGGGAGGCTGAGTAGGGCAGACATAAAGGGGCAAAAAGGGCCTACTTTTGTCTCCGTTCAGACTCAGGAGCAAAGAAGGAGAGTAGAAAATTCATGGAAGTTTCTATTATGATTACTTCAAGTACCCATATCAATACCTAAAGCCTTATGCCTGTTGTCTCCCTCATCTGTCCCTCCCTGCAGCCTCCTCAGGTTCAATTTGTTTAAATGGGAAGTGGATGGAGCTTTGCTGCAGCACAAGTTTTGCTGCAGAGCATCTTAGACCGCCTTTGGGGCAATTAAGAGAATGAAATGTTTGCCTCCTGGTCACTCACTGCCAGAAAATGGCTGATCCAGCACTAGTGGTTGCTGTCAAAAATCATGCCAATAAAAGCAGAGGAGTAAAATAAATGGTTGAGAACAGACATAGGCCCAAGCAAGCAGCTGGATCTATCTATCCTGTGAGCCTCCATCACAGCAGTGGGACTATGCAGGTGCCAGATGCTTAGCAAAGCCCTCTGGCCATAAAACACAGGGCTACAGATGTGTTTTCCACCAGCTCCAAATGATCAACCTGCTTCAGGTTTTCTTCCTATATAAGTCTCTGAATTAGCCTCTTCACAGGTAACCAAAGGACATTTCTTTGGCCAGAAGCTTGTAGCCCTAATTGGCTCAATCCTTAATTCTTTTCTTTCCAGGCTTGCAGCAGTTGCAATCACAGCAGGTCTATCAAGTATTTTCTGTGCACTGAGGGACAGGCAGGTGAAGGGTCTGACTCTCAATTCTCCTGGTTTGTCACTTTTATCAGGTTGTGTCCTCCCTCTTGGTCATTACAGGATAAGAAAGGCATTTGACTGTATTTTCTCAACCTTTAACTTGTCCATCATTCCATGRGCAGGCTGCAGCATAGCAAGAGAAGAGATAAACTGTGTGTTGGGGGGGAGGGTTGGTTCAGGCCATTAGAGCCTCTGCAGTGAGGAAAGAGATGGACAGTACRGCTACTTTCAAGGGGGATGTGAGAAGGTCAGGAAGAGGGGGGTGATGACAGGGCTGTGAGTCCAGGGAAAACAGAGCTGCAAAGTTTGCATAGGGACCCACGGGAGTCAGCTGTGGGCAACTGCCTGTTTTGCTTGTCTTCATAGTGAGCTATGAAAGGGGGTGGGAGAGACAGCTAAGCACGGTGTGGATAGGGGAAGAAGAAGAAGAAGAAGGGGTCTCCTGTGGGCTGGTGTCAGAAGGGCAGACWGACGATCCCTAGGGGTATTTGGGGCATAGCTGTTGCCAGATGTGCCTGCAGAGGAAATCATGAGATCCGTCCATGTATAGCATGCGAAATGGGAAGCTCCTAGGGGAGTCATAGAGAAATTCTCAACTCTTGAAGGGAAAAGACACAACCGGGCCTTCAGCATAGGGATGATGGGCTAACGTCTGCCTGTGGGGAGCTGCGAGGGCTGGGACTCAGCAGCCACRGCAGGCTCTGCACAGCCCGGGGTTTGGCAACCCTGCCGCTGTCGGTCCCCGCCACGGCCAGGCTCAGCCTGTGCCCGGCCGCTGGCAAAGCCCCACCGTGGCGGTTTAAAAATAAGCGCTGCAGCCTGCTGGACAGCCTTCCTKGGAAAAACAAACGCGGCGGCGCTGGCAGCCCTCAGGGGCACGCAGACGCGTGCTTTGGGGGCACCTCCTCAACGGCGGCAACCCCCGAAGTTCTCTTGGAAACAGAACAACGCGTTCCCTTCCTTCCTTCCCTCCAGGCAGACCCCACATCCCATCCGCATCGCCCCCGCCCGGAGCCCCCCGAGCCTGGGCGCAGGTGAGCGCTGCGGGCCCGCCCGCGCCGTGGAGCAGGAGCGCCTCCCGCAGGGCGCCGAGGGATCCGTCGGGATAACACCGCGCCTCGGGGGGGATAAACCCTCACCCTCAAAACACCCCCCTCCCACGACTCCAGGATATTWAAATAGATTAAACTTTTTAACAATGAAATCCTCTCTCCATAGGGAACGGGCTGAATGTCTCTCACGGCTCTTTTGGAAACTTCGTGAACGGGAAGAAAAGGGCAAAAGTATCCATACACTTAGAGAAAAGGTACTGACTGACGCCCACAATGCAGCTCAGTCTAGAGGCAACGAGACCAGCAACCAGAACAACCCGTCTAACTTGCAAGTGGCTGTATCATTAAAAGGCCATAAATCCACGTTAGCAAATACCCTAAGCAGAAATCACAGCAAATCAACCACATTTTTGCTCTGCCAGGAGGGAMCCCCTGGTGAATGGGTGAGAAACACTCGACACGAGGTTCTTTTGTTCGTCATTAATTTCAGAAAGTCTTTGCCTCTCTCTCTGACTGTATTTTTCATTGGCAGCCWAGGAAGGCGAGATTTGGAGATCTCTGATTTACCTCTGTACATAGCTAGTAAGGCACACTTCARAGTAGCTGTAGCTGGCCTCCTTGTGCTGCTGGAAGAAGGTTTGAAGCCCAATTCTACATGGAAGTAAATACTTTCAGTAACGTCTCCAAGGCCAGCATAAATTTTGCCAGAGCAGGAGGAGCTGCAAACACTTCTGAGAAATTAAAGTGATCCTGGCAAATTGAGGAAATTACRAAGAATAAACGGTAGGTAATTCAGTTAAGGCAAAAGCACTTAAGGARGAATAACCATCTGTACAAATTTATATCTCTGAGTTTCCACGGCTTTAATAGCTCTGCAAATAGGGCTCTGGGTGTTAAAGTGGGTCAAAAACAAATTAAGGTTGGTGTTCATGGCAATGGAAGCGTAAAAACAAATGATTAYACTGTTTGTGCAATTGATGCCTAAAGTCATACATGTTAAACCTGTCCTRTCGAGGGACTGGGAGATCTAAAGCCCGGTAAGAAAGCAAATAAACATTGTTTCATCTCMATGGATGTGGAATGAACCTTTTACTTTCTCCAGGTTTGGAAGGGCCTCAGCTGAATTCATYGTCAAGATTTCTGTTTCACAGCGCAGGAAAGAGGGACGCAGTCTATCGAAGGGTAAAAATGTTTTAGAAAATCCTGAGTTTTAGAAAATCTTATTATCTGTAAGAAAAAGGGTTTGCATAGAAAAGGCTAAGCAAAGGCAGGGCAGCAATTCACAGAATTCTTAAGGTTGAAAARGACCTGCAAGATCATCAACTTTGACTGATCACCACCTTGTTAACCAGACCACGGCAGTAAGTGCCACATCCAGTCATTTCTTGAACACCTCCAGGGATGGTGATTCCACCACCTCCCTAGGCARTCTGTTCCAATACCTGACCACCCTTTCAGTAAGGAAATTCTTCCTGATGTCCAACMTGTCTTACCCTGGCACAGTWTGAGCCTGTCCACTTGTCCTGTCACTGGTTGCCTGGGAGAAGAGACTGACCCCCACATGGCTACACCCTCCTTTCGAGGAGTTGTAGAGAGTGATAAGGTCTCCCTTGAGCCTCTCTTCCAGGCTAAACAACCCCAGCTCTCTCAGCTTCTCCTCACAGAACTTCRCTCCAGAAATTTTACCAGCTTTGCTGTCCTTCTCTGGACTTGCTCCATATCTCAATTTCTTTTAGTGAGGGGCCCAGAACTGGATACARCACTTCGGGTGGGACCTGACCAGCGCTGAGGGAAAAATCACTGCCCTGGTCTGGCAGAAATAACAAATTGCAGTGCTATTCCTTGGCATGCACATTGCAGGCAGGGTAAGCAGTAACCACATTAGACTGAAACCAGGCTATGCCTGGGGCGACGCCTTTCTTATCATGAAAGCCGGGCCGCACAGCTCTGGAGTGCTTTCGCTCACAGACTGAGAGTCTCTTGTTCTCTGATTTTGTGAAGGGCTGAGATAAATCCAGCGTCATTGCTTTATAGGAGTCAAAGCCTTTCGCTCACTCCTGCCCAAATCTCTCCTCGCCGGTGATTTTGCACATCTCTARCAGGCAAGGCTGCTTATAGCCGGCGTACCCCCTTTCCGTCCATGTCCCGCCAGCCTCGGTGCTGCTTCCAACACCCGCTCCTCTCCAGCTGCCCCCAGTCCGCAACCCCACTTCGTCCCGAAGCAGGGCTAACACCCCCGCCGCCGGCAGCACCCTTCCCTAGGAACACCGTTCCCCAGCCCCACGGTGTGTGCGGCCGGCAGGACTCTGAACCCTCTGGCGCCAGCCGCCCGCCCCCATCCCGCCCCGCTCTCCCGGCGCCCTCCCCGGTCCCGCCCCGCCGGCCCGCGCCTCGCCGGGAGCTGTAGTCCGGGAGCCGCGGCGTGCCCGAGGTCGGAGCGGGCGGATGGCGCTGCGCGGCTCCCTGTGGGCCGGCCGGGCTCTGCTGCGCGCCCCGGGGCCCCCCGCCCGCGGGATCTCCGCCGGCAGCCGGGTGCGTGCGCGGCCGGGGCGCGGGGCAGGCGGGGGACGGGGCGGGAAGGCTCCCGGGTGACCGTGCCCTCCGCTCGCCTTGCAGCCGCCGGCCTTCGGGTTCCTGTTCGATGTGGACGGGGTGCTGGTGCGGGGCAGCCAGCCCGTGCCCGCCGCCCGCCGCGCTTTCCAGAGGCTGGCGGACGGCGGCGGCCGGCTGCGGGTGCCCGTCGTCTTCCTGACCAACGCCGGGAACTGCCTGCGGTCGGCCAAGGCCCAAGAGCTGTCCCGGGCGCTGGGACTGCAGGTAATGCTGACGCGGCAGCSGGAGCGCTCCCGGCGCTCCAAGAGCGGGACCCCGCGCCGGGAGCCCACCCCACGCGAGTTCCCCGGGAGAAAAGCRCCACGAGTGCCTGGCTTTGCTTCGGCCCGAGGGGCTGGAGGGGAACAGGTGGCAGCGACGCGATCCGACCGCAGGAGAAGGGGGAGAAATCCTACCTGCGGTTCCCAGCCAGCCTCTTCTCCRTCCCGCAGGTGCCTCCGGAGCAGGTGATCCTGTCCCACAGCCCCCTGCAGCTCTTCAGCCAGTTCCACCAGAGGTGCATGCTGGTGGCCGGGCAGGGGCCCGTGGAGGAGAATGCCCACGAGTATCCTTTGCTCTGTGTGCCTCATGGTGCTCTGTGCCTTCCACTGCAACATCTCAGCTAAAGGCTGCTRCTCCTGCCCTGCCCCTACCCCTGGCACTTGCTTGCTCAGCTTGTAGAAGCACAAGGAGACACGAAGGTCATTGGTCTTACYTTATGGGGCAGTGTCCTTATGGACAGGCTCAGGTGCAGGCACTGTTGATCTCCATGTTGGTCACCTCCTGGCTCCCTTATTCAGTGTTTGGCTTCTCATGGTCATTACCTCTCCCGTGATTACCGTTCTGTTGGCAGGCTGTGACTATGAGAAATCCATCACTTTTGAGATAAAGTTGTGCTCCTCCCATTCTTTCATGGCAAGCCCATTAGAGATCCCTCCCAGCTGTTCCATGGATAAGGTTTTCCCAGAAACTGACAGTAATTAAAGGAACTCAAATATGATGGGAGTTTGAGCAACCTGCTGTAGTGGAAGGCATCCCTTATACCATGGCAGAGGGTTAAGAGCTAGATGATCGTTAAGGTCCCTTCCAGCTCAAACCATTCTATGAAATATCATTAGAGTCAGAGCATCCCAGCAGAGAAAAGTGGTATAAATGACTATCCCACATACAAATTGCCTGGCTGAGGTGAAGGAACAGCAGGTCAGACATGTCTGCAGGGCGGTAAGAACTACCTTCAGTGCTTGCACCATCTCAGCCTCTACACACAGGGTGACACCCTGTACGCAGTGTTCAATTTCATTTGTTACAGAAACATGGCCCTTCTCTGTGTTTCCCCAAGGCACCTAGGGTGAGCTGAAGGCAAGGTATTCTGCAACAAAATGCAACCCATCCTTCACTTGCATGTTTTTATCAGCAGAGACCATTTTCCTTGCACTGAAGCACCAAGGCTTCACTGATTCTGTGGCAGCCTCATCAGCCCCCTGTGCTGCACCAATATCAGCAGCTTGGCATAAAGGTCTCCCAAAATACATCCTATTCTRTCCTGGAGTGGCAGCCTCTGCTCTTTACCCAGTTCCGGGATTGCTGTTGAGTCACCTGAGCCAGATTTTTTGTAATATTCTTTAGGACCATCTATCTGTTGAAGCACAGTCTGGCTGAAAGCCATCAGATTATGCATTACCACATTAAATAACTGTTATGTTAATAAGATTTGTATTCCCTAATCCTATAGATGCTTTGACAAGTAACTTAAAGAAAAACAGTCACTAAAAAAACCAAACSCCAAACAAACCAGTCTCCACAACATTCCTTGATGATCTGAACTAGCCTGGGATTCAAGCRTGTGGTCACCATAGAGGCGCTGAGGAAAGCATATCCCCTCTTAGACATGGTGGATCAGAGCCGGAGGCCAAAAGAGCTGGTAATTTGCTGAAGCATCAACAGAAGGGTGTTCTGGTGCAGAGATGGTCACAGTACACAGCTCGGGCCAGGGAAGCTGCAAAGGGACAGGGCAGCTGGCTGCTGGTGATGTCCCTTAGCARGAGCCTGGTGCTGACACTGAGCAACCAGCACCTCAGCTCTTTCCCATGCTGGCTCCTGCAAGAAGGGCAGTGACTCTCCCCTTGCCTTTCTCATGTCACCAGAATAGTGTTCCATTGCTRTTCCTTGCCGTGAGGGGTAAGATGGTTTGGTTGACATCTCCAGCAYTGAGACAGGAGTACAAGATTTGTGAAATCCCATCTGGGAGTGGGGGAGGGGGGAAAAGAAAATCTTCCCTCAGGATTCCAGGTGGCTTTGTCCTGCCTTTTTATGGAACTGCCTTGGCAGGTTCAAAGGAAGCATTTTCAGTTTTGTTTTGGAGATGGCATTAGGTTTTGCATTACTAATCCAGCCTTTTTTTTTTCTGGCAGCCTCCTCCAACCACTGGCGTCCCCACTATAGAAGGTAAGTGGCCTGTGTTTACATATGAGCAGCAAGCAGAGCTAACAGCAAGGCAGGCCAGCTGGGATGGGAGCTAATGGCATGCTGACAGGTCACTGCTATCCGTGGCAGCATATTCAGAGGGTACAGCCAGGAGGCAGCCTCACTGCTGGAAAAAGCTGGATAAAAGCAAAGCCAGATTTTTCTGTGCCATTTTCCAGTGTCTGGGGACCAGTGGTGCACATGGTGCAGCGATGTGCAGACTGGAGCCCTGGCACCAGCCATGTTCTGGTGGTAGCTGTACTACATCCATGCTGGGCATCCCAGCAGAGGAGGGGTTAATGAGTGGGTGGCTTTTGGTGATGGAACCCATATTTGGATGCTGTGAGTTTCCAGACATCTGTTGGAATTTTCCAGGGGTGATTCTGTTTGGTGAGCCAGTGAGGTGGGAGACAAGCCTGCAACTCATTACTGACGTACTCCTGAGCAATGGGAACCCTGGGGCAGAGCTGCAAGATGTACCATACCCTCACCTGCCTATCCTTGCCTGCAACATGGATCTCCTGTGGATGGCTGAAGCCAAGATGCCCAGGTGAAAAGCATATGTGACATTTGGTTTAGCCTATTCCATACTTCTCTCGTGCAGATGATCTTTTGCTACTGCATTTTTTTAGCATCTGAATGTTTTAAGAGTTTGATTGTACTATGTAATTAGCAGCAGAGACATGAAAGCTGCATGAGAAACAAGGACTAAAACTTGGGAGTAGCAAAAGCCAGACTGCCTGTGGAGGTGTGTGTGGGTGGACACCATATCCAAACTAGGCAGTAACCTGGACACGGCAGATGGATCTCCTCACCAAGGAGTGCTTGCTGCTTCAGTGGTGTGACTGGGATACTGATGATCTCCTTTCTGGGGCAGGTTTGGCCATGGCACTTTCCTTCTCTGCTTGGAGAACATTTACAAGAAGGTGACAGGCAGGGAACTGAAGTATGAGGCCTTGATTGGCAAACCCAGCCCAGTCACCTACCGCTATGCCCAATACTTGATACAGCAGCAGGCAGAGAAACAGGGCTGGAAGACTCCCATCCGACGCCTCTATGCAGTTGGGTAAGAGACTTTTTCCTGCTGGTTTCCTTAGGGATTGCATACTGATTGCTCTTTCGTGGGTTGGTTTGTTTATTGGGTTTTTTTTTTTTTTTTTTTTTTTTTTTTTTTTTTTTTTTTTTTCCCCTTTGGATATTGCTAAAGTTAATGCCGAAGTCCCAGTGGTGTCTCTGGAGCCTCACATTCTGGAACAGAGGCTTACTAGCTTTTTGTACCCTACACAGCAAAGCTGTTGACTGTAGGCTGCAGAGTGCACATAGCATGACTGGATTAAAGACAAAATTAAGAGACTCAGATTTAGTGCTGTTAGCTTAGTCAGGCCAAACACTTTGGCCAAATACAATACAGTAATGGCTGAAACTTCTGGCGATGCTTTGGCTGTGCTGTCTCCCTGTTGGAAGGTGTTTGTGAGGCATGTGGCCTGAACAGGACACACGGAGAGTAGACTCAGTGGCCCCCTCTGAGTGCTCCTGTTGATGTTAGCAAATACCTCACACCCCTTCCTCCTTCAGTGCTGTCTTAAACCAAATCTCCCAGAGCCAGAGAGAGATGCATGGGCTTGTTTCTCATTTCTGTTTACACTGTGACCTTATCCAGGGATAACCCTATGTCTGACATCTATGGGGCAAACCTCTACAACAACTACCTCAAGTCARCTCAGCAGAACCAGGTCCAGGCTGGGGTGAAGAGGAGCCCACAGGCAGCCATTCCCCAGACTGAAGTTTCCCTGGAGCTGAGGAATGACTGCAACAATTCCGTGGAGAGCTGCGAGTCGATTCTGGTCTGTACTGGGGTCTACCGCCCCAATGCCAATATTCCCAAGAAAACAGAGCCACACACAATGGAGACAGTGTTCCATGGACAYCGGGACTTCTGCTTTGACCCCAGCCTGGTGGAGGCATCTTACATAGTGCAGGATGTGGATGATGCTGTGCAACTTGCTTTTAAGAAGGAAAACTGGAGCTAGGAGTTAAAACAGGTGTGCCTAAAGATCTACTGTAAGGAATTTATGTACTGGAAAGGGAAGAGGGCAAGAATGGAGAGGGACCTGGGGTGATCTTCCAATCTAGCTAACATGAAAGAAAACTTCCTATTGCAGCATTAAAAGCCCCTTAATTTTATTGATACTCATCTGCCGTGCCRACAGCCACCTACAGACTTTCCACTGTGACCATACATTGCTGCCAGCCGTAATGGAGCCATAATGGAAACAGGGTATAAGGAGTAGGCTTGTCCCAGCAATCCCAGTTTTGTTCAGCTCTCAGAGTTCATTCTTTTCCACACTTTGTGTGCAAAGATCAGGAGAGCCCGCCCTCCTCTTCATGAGGTGTCTGACGGTGAAGCTCTTCCCCACWCAAGGAGCCACCATCAGCCAATGCACCATTTGTACAATGTGCTGTTTGTCCAGTCTGTGACTCGAATACATCAGAAGCTGGGCTGTGGTGGCACTGTGCCAACAGAAGGCTTTAAGTCTTAACATTCTCCTTGTGAAGAATAAGTGCCTATGGACTTTAACAAATTCTGTTTGCCTGGGGATTTGCTTCTGTATCACTGTCAGTCTGAAACAAAGTTCTATTTTGCAGTTCTCTGGCACTATGGAGAGGCAGGGCCCCCCAAAGGAAGCTGCAGTAGCCAGAGCAACTTGCTGCAGGGCTGAGGTGAAAGTWATATTGTTCCCTCCCCCATATTCAGTATTCTGTGAGCACTCCTGCCACACATCCCACTAGGGAGCCAGCAGCCTCAGTAGCAGAGGAAACCACCGCACAGTTTGAATTGGCAGAGTTGTCTTTGCCCAGAACTCAGTGCTGCAGCAAGAGGCACTTTTGGCACCCACTCTGATCACAACTGTTGCAAGGAACATCCACCTGCCCCTCCAGAGGGGCCCTTCTTTGGAACAAGGGTCAAATRAAAAAGCCACAGTCCACCTTTGTTCCTTCCTTGCATGCAAGGATTCAAAGAGATCATCAAGGCAGGATGGTGCCATGGCCCCAGATCCCCAGTCCTGATCTTTTAGAATACAAATGTCTGTGTCTTTCAGTTCCTTTGTCCCTCTCATCCCTCAAGTGGTTTGCAGCTCAGGGGTACCCATATAGTCCAATCTCTGGTCCCTCCTCTTTTACATGCAGGTAGAGTCCCCCTAACATGAGTGATCAGCTGGGACTTGTCTGCCCAGGAACATTTCCCTAACAACACGCACCTTCTATTGCCTCTGTTCTCCTAGCTCATGTTATTCAGAGAAGGGTAAAACTTGTGTCTCCACAGACATTCCAAAGAAGATCAGCWAGRAYTGAATGAGAAACTCATGTGAAAGRTTTASCTTAGCAAGGAGTGTCTTAATTCCAGAGGAGTGTTGTGATTTTGGAAACACAAATCAGTCTGTATATAATGAAAAGCCTTGGAGCCAACACAACTGTTGGTGTTCCTAATTATAGTCAGCTCACACCACACTGAAATATCAGAAATAGGTCTGCTCTGCTGTTTCTTTCCTTCTTCCTGCTTTACCAGGCAGCTCCATACACAGGGTACAAACAAGATGTTCTGCACAGAAGTTTGAGTTCTTAATTCAAATTTCAGCATTTTTGTGCACTGAAATTCTGTTTCAGCAGCTCTCCATCCTCTCAGTGCTGATGTGTCTTCCTAGGAAGGTCACTACAGTGCAGGCTCTATTCTTGTGCCAGGCTCCATGTCTGAAGCAGACCAGGTGCTCTTTCAGTGACCCAGCTACAAAAGYTCCTCTGTCTCCTCCATTTTTCTATCCTTTATTAATAGAAGCAGAAAAATACCTCTTTGCATGGGTTTCCCTTCTGCAAAATCCATAGTGGGAAGCAGTTTCTTCCTCTCTTAGCACTGCTTRGTGGGGGTCTTGTCCCTTGTCTCATCAGGACAAGAATTGCTATGCTGCTTCTAAAAGCAGCTGTAATGGGAAGAACACAGATTTGAATCCTTTTCCTTTCACTGGAGAGGAAATTACCATTTCATCTAGTTGCAGAAGACAAGGGCTTGTCTCCAGTTTCCAGAAGAGTGGGCACAGGGAGGGACTTTGCATATAACATAGGGGAGGTCCTTTAGCTGCAGTACCTCTCCACAATCACAGTTGTGCTGGTGCCCCCAGCATGCAAGGCCTGAAACTGGCATTCAAGCTCCATTTATTCTGCTGGAGTGGTAGCTGCAGTGTCCCTCAGCCTTGCTTTTCAGAGATGCCATCCAGTGCAGAAAGAGGAATGTTCCCTTTGCTTGCAGAATTTGCTGACTTGGGTGGTAACTTCCATGGGATTCCTTGGAATGGTCCTCTAGGCCATGATTMCACAGACCTCAGGGAGCTGGTTGCTGGCAGGAAATGTGAGCCACACCTTCAGTCTGGTGGGTGCTGATTGCAGAAATGCTGAGGTCTGTCCATCTGCAGCAAACCTTTGGCAGAGCTCTGTCTTGTTGCTTGTCAAAAGTGTGGTGCCACTTAGAGAAAAGGTGCTGCCAAACCACCCTCAGGGCTGTAGCATCTCCTTCAAGGAAGGAAAAGGTTTGCATTTGCACAGAGGGAGCCAGGCATCTCCATCTTTGGAATAGCAGTGGAGGTGAGCTGACTGATGTGAATCTGCTTCAGATGCCAAATCTGCTTTTAGAGCTGGATTTGGGGTTTTTTTTTTTTTCACCAGTGTTCTGGGAGTCTTAAAAATGCGTAGGAGGAACTTCAGTGATAAGGAATTAAAAAAAATGCTTTGCTTGTGAGTTGAAATTGAACAGAAGGGAGGAGATGGAATCTAGAAATATCTTGTACCCTTTCCCTAATTCATACCAAGTAAGGCTTCATAAAAATCTCTGCTTGTTGCACTCTGCACTAATTAGCCAGATGGGCTGCCCTTGGTCTGAGCAATGCAAAGACCTTTCCCCTTCTCCCCTTCTCAGCTCCTTGAAACAGTGTACTTTGTCCAAGTCCCTGCCAGGGAATTGCATGGCCCCAGTGGATGGAGTAGGAAATCTGGCTTCTCCAGCTGCTGCTGTACACTGACTTGATTCTAGAAGGTTTCTATTAATGAAAGTGCTTGCCAGGTCTCCTCTGTTCCATGAGTTGTGCTAGAGTGCTATACAGGCTTCTAGCTTATCTGCAATTAATTTATGGGCATCTGTTATTGCTAGAATTCAGTGAAGTCCTTTTTCTTTGGAACTGCAGCTTGGAATTAGCTTCAAGTGTGCCTGGAACAAAACTTCCTTTGTCTCATGTATTGCTCAGAAGTGGTGTCTCTGAAATCATATTTTGCTCCTTTGGAGCAGTCATACTTCTGTGCAGATTATGGGACCAAGCAGGAGAGGGGACTTCACTCCTGATCCAATACCTTAATATTTACATGGTGCACTGCCCTATGCAATAAACAGGGTGAAGACCTGATCCTAGCAACTCCATCTTCCAAAGATGAACAGGTTTAAGTCAAGCCAGAAGGGAGCATGCAACTGAGAACAGCAGGAAGGAACCAAGGGATAGACCTTGTTTTGGATCTGAAGCAAAGAGCTTTTATGTCATGCAATAAGATGATGGCCAGAGAAATCAATTCCTTTATTCCACAGGACACATGCAACTACTAACCTGGCATTCAGGGAATCAGATAACACTACTGTCTCCTTCCTTCCAATCCTAATCCTGCCATGTCTTTCTCCCTCCAATAAATGGTAATGTCTCAGATTGTGTCATGTGCATATCATTCAGAGAAATCGCAAACTGTGATTATTTTAGATTTCACATTAATTTCAATGCAGTTTTAGAGTTGTTACTTTGATCAAGCACATATGTAAAATAATAAAATATGTTTCCTTTGAAATGAATTTTAACTTCCTGTGTATACATTTAATGCATTATTATCATGCTCTCTTTCACATCTTTGCCCTAGAAGATTATTAGGGCAAATTCTGTTAGGTTTTTATTTTTCCTGTTCTTCAAACTATTACCAGACTTTCTTGAGGGAACTACCCTGAAAGTTACCCCTCCAGCAATTACTGGCAAACTTTCAGACTAGAGCCAAAAGCTTCCCCTGATTTCAATGGAAAATTAAAGGTCCTCCTAGGTGAAACTATCATCTTTAATGATCTGGAAACAGCCAATTCACTTGCATTGTTCTTATATTTCATCAGAAGCTTTCCCATCTACAAAGTTCACAGCTCACAGGAGGCACATTAGACAGCAAAACAAGTGTGATGCAGAATCCTCAGAACTTGGTGTTGAGAGCAACAATGAGTAAAGCATTGTTTGAGTTTTGGAGGGACTGGACAAGGATTCCCATTCTCAGCAGAGAGAGGAAATGAATTATATTCTGCATCCTGGAGAAGTGACCTATGGCCCTGACCTCAAATAACCATAAAAAGTGTTAGCTTCCTCCTTCCATCCAGTCCTGTGGTAGTTGGAGCACTGACCTAAGATAAGGCTAATCAAAGTTTAGTTAAGGAGAGAGATCACAATCTGAAACTCTCAGGTGCATAGTTTTAATCTCAACACTATTGTCAGAGCAAAAGGGCAGCCTAGGGTTAAGGTGTCCCTTGTAGGAGCGCCTTGGCTGGAAGTCAGAGTCCCATAGGAATCCTTGCCCAGCCTAAGGTGCAGAGTTAAACACTGGCATCGTGAAACACTGAAGAAGGACTAACTTGAATGAAAGGATTGAGAGCCCTGTTTAAGTTGGAATTTGCTCCCAGGTGAATGCTGTGAGAAATGCTTGCCAGGGTAGCCCCTGGCAAGTSCTTGGTCCCTGCTTGCCCTGATAACTGCGTTACATTTGGGGGCCTGCCCAAACCCTTCCATTACTGGACCTGCCTAACCCRAATCATAAAAGCACAAGTATTAATGTTTTTTTTTTCACTGCCACAATCAATTTGATGAAAACTTTGCATTTACAGACCTTCACAGATCCAGCCTGCAACAGTTTAAAACCCCACGCCAGCAAGGCAGCTACATGTTCGCCAGGAACCAAACTTCCACCAAGAAAAATTCACTATAATAAACCTACTTTTCCCTTTCAGTTAGATCAACTACTAAGAACTTCCATTTTCTCCTCAAAGTTAGATCAATTCATGCTCCATGCTAAAATTGAGCTAAGTACAAAATACCAAGACCAAACCCTAAATCCACTCTCCAAACCCCTCCCTGCTACAAGCATGAAAAGAAATGCCTTGGCATTTTTGAAAGCTCTTTGAACTGAAATGKAATTACAAGCAATAGACTTTTACACTTTTATATCCTTTTGAAGAGCATCTGCATTCCCTGAGCCATAACATGGGATCAGGAGTTTGGTTACAAAGACTGCRTTTGGAAGCCAAAGCATCATGGAATTTTGGTGCTGGCCAGGTGAAACTTTTTTACACTTATCTTCAGCTGTGACCATTTGAATGGCTTAGGTAAGTACAGTACAAAGCCTGTGTCAGAGAATTCAGAAGAAGCCTCCTTTCCCACACAAAAGGCATTTTAGGTATGGTTGGAGCAGATTATGCTCAAACTCACCGAGATCAGCTTTGCCTCCTTCCCTCCCACTGCTGCCAGTTTCTGACAGCTTACTGCAGGGTATAATTAGGTATCTAGTTTCTGGTCTTTCTTTCTGGCATATATCTGCCTCTTTTTAATTTTTTTCCTTCCCCCAAGAAACTGAGTCATTATTTTGTTTCCTCCCAAGTTCAGCCCTCAAGAAAGTTTTGCCTTCCCCCAGGAGGGGTATTTTTGAGGGCACACTACTTGTTTCCACTTGTAGTGTAAACTAAAAATGGTAGCATTTTAGATACTCAGTATATTGCACAAAACTCTGTTGTCTGCTGTTTGCCTTTAAATATATGTATACACTCACATCTCTATGCATACACATCAATACATAAAAAAGCCAAACACATCTCTTGGGAGCTGCTGAAGAGGAGCAGCTATTTTTAGTTCAGCTTTTTAATGTTTTAACAGTAATGGTTAAGCACTAACACRTCCAAGACTGCACAGAGCATTAAATAACTAGATCACACGGGAAGCATCAGCCTTGTCATATCTCATCCTACAGTATGCTACAAAAAGCTCTTCAATACTTTCTTGAGTAGAAGACATTTCTCCCCTCAGTCCCATTYTAAGGCAGAGGCACAATTTCTGCTTCCTTTCCCACAAATAAGCTCCTYTCTTATTCTCACCTGTTTATTTGGGTTGTGTTTACACTGCTGGAGCCCATGCTCAGCCCAAGGAAGCCCCTGAGCTTCCACCCTCTTCCTGGTGCTTCCCCATCCCTGGTCACAGCTCCCCTTGCCCTGCAGCCACAGCTCCCTCTTCCCACTTGCCTACCTTGGATGTAGGATCCTTCAGAGCCCTAGCAGGTATCCTGTGGTGTCTGGAGAACCATTTTCAGGAGCCATGAGCCCTGCTCCCACAGCCTGGGCCCAGCAGGCCGTTCCCTAGGCCCGGCCCCTCAGCTCCAGCTGCCCTCAGACTCCATCAGAGCCCATTCTCCAGGCCTGCACACCAGCTGGGGAGGACAGCCCACCCTCCCACAGCCCAGGGAGCCCCACTTGCATTGCCTTTTACTAATTCCATTTACCTCGGTAGATGTGAGAACAGACAGGCACTCAAAGCTTTGGGAAATGAGGCTTCTTTATGAAACGAGGGCCTGGACTGATGTGGATGCCTGTGCCAGGCTGCCAGGGCAGCTCAGTGAGCACATCCAGCCTGTGGCATGCAGGGAATTGCATTGCTCAGGAAATCCAGAGCATGGCAGCCAAAGCTGTCACTGTCACTGTCACTGTCACTGTCACTGTCACTGTCACTGTCACTGTCACTGTCACTGTCACTGTCACTGTCTGCTGCCCAGGTAGGGTAGGACCAGGCCTCTCTGCCTGAGGGCTGTTGCCTTGAGCGGCCCAGACGGATGCTTGGTTTTCACTCCACATCCTCTTGTAGAAGTGGAAAACTTCCATTGCAGCAGAATGTGGCAAGACCAAGACCAATTTAGTTAATGCTGAGGGCTGACCACACATAAATCATACCAGTGACATAAATATTGGCTTACCCTGAGAGGAGACAGCTGAAGGTGCCCACCGACCTCAGATAAAGCCCAGGATCCAGAATATAAGAATGGTTTTACCCTCTATCATGGACCACACGCACTTACACTGCCATCTAACCCAGCCTTTCTGTGGAAGCCACATTAGGAGGCATAGCTGGTGTCATTCACACAACTCTAAGCTGTCCTGAACTGGGCAACTCCTGCCAAGTGGCACCAGGCTCTGCTGGAACATGAAAAAGCAGCACAGAGAGCAATCCTCCTCCTTGGCCATGGCCTCCAGCCTCCTGGTCCCTAACAAACCAAAAGCATCCACAGAGATTTAAGTGAAGGGTTTATGGGGTTGTACAAAAATTGTAGTCTAAGCAATTGTTTGGCCAGGGATTTTACTTTAGAAGTAAAGTCGGCCAAAGAGGGAAAGCCTTGCCAGCAGAACACACAGCAGCAGAGCC